GGCCCATCTCCCATATATAAACTGTACATAATACAAATATCGAAAAAGACAAGGGAAGGCGGAGGGATTTCTGTAACCGATCGGTCAATATTCCCAATTTAACCGACAAGACAACGAGCCCGTGCGCATTGGATTGGATTGGATAGTTGGACTTCTAATGAACAGGTCGCGGGTTCGAGCCTCCGGTGGTGCACTAATGGGGTTTGGTACGGTTGGCTAATGATGGCGGATGAGCCAGAAGTTGCCATACCAATCTCAATTGTCTGTGTCGGCAATGCGAATCGGCCTGTCTTTAATATTCCAAAAATAACCGTTATCCCGGCTCCTTAGACTTATATAACATGGTATCTCTTAACCTATTGGAAGAAGTGTGCCTATTGATGGTGATCTATGGAAGTATAGTCGGAGAAATACAGTACAGCCGTTACGCTGCAAAGAGCTTTGCACTGAATCAGGACAAACAAATGTTCCGTTGTTTGTCTTCGATAATTCGCCGGAACCTGGATGAATACCCCCCTTCCCTGGATGGCATGTGTTACAGTGGTGACTGGAGGTTCTACAAGAAAATCTGGAGACGAATACTCCTCCACAGCTTCCTCGATTCCCATGCGGAAAATTGAAAACAGAAGGCATTTCCAATTACCCTGGTTTCATCAGTTAACAGGAAGTTTTCTGGTATTTGCAAGCAGAGAGATAGCAGTTAAATATTGTTTTCGTGTCAGGCTGATATAATAAACTCTCGGTGAACATGTATTCGACTTCAGAGCTTCCTTATTTCATGAGGGAAATTGAAGCCCCGGTGAATTTTCCTCCTTTACTTCAACTGATTTATTGAAAGTTACTTGACGAATGGAGAAGTCAAAAATGAGCTTAGAGATGATTGAGTAAACTCTCAGTCTACACTTAAACTTCGCAATTCTGTTTCAGTGGAGGAAGAGATATCAATGGAATAGTCTTCGGAGAATAAGCTGGCCCATTTGTGAAGTTTTTCACTTCTCCTTTAGGTTTGCACAGAGTTTTAATCTTGTAAACAGGTAACCGCATTTCGTCGTTTAACTTACCATAAAAATGGAAAATATGATACCCTTATATTTTTTCCCTAAGTAGACGTCTCTAGAATCTAAATTTAGTTGATGCAGTTGTGGTATACGAATCACTCTATCCAGGAATCTAAGATGAAAGTATTCCAACCGATACAAACTAGTAAATAAGAACAAAGACATTGGCAACTAAAAGCAGCGCGTTTATTCAAAATCTTATTCAAAGTTGTGTCAAGTTAATTACAAAGCAGATTTAACTGAGTAAAAAAAAGGCTGCTTAATGTCACTACACAGTCTTTCGGGGTGAATCACTACCATCCAGGAAAAATCTCGCGGCTTCTTACACGTCAAAATCCACTAAACGTCGATAGAAAGCGTGAAGGCTGTTTTCGTGGCCTAAAGATAGTCGACGCAGCGTTCGCATCGGTATGTATACAGAGCAAACACAAGTTCGTTCATGTGCCATAACAAGTCTTTCTTGCAAACATCAAACAATTTCAAAACCCAACATATGGCCTTTTAATCGGCAATTCCTTTTTCAAGCGATTATTCTCAGCATTATTATTTTGGAGTATATGCCGGCTTTGTTGAAAGCAGTATTTGTAAGTAAATAATTTTACACCTTTTTCACTCCATTTCCTAAAGGTATTTTAAAATGCTTACTTGCGTATACCTTCAACCCAATATTAGAGATTCTGGTCTTAGTTAGTAAGCATTCCATTTAAACCAGGTTTACCACAATGCCGAAGGACTCGAATGACAGTGTCAGACGGCTCTGTTGTCTCTTTTTCAAACCTGAAATAACGGGAAAAACTTGAGAAATTCATTCAAACCGTTTTAACTCAGCGAGGCTGTTCAAAATTTTTTTATAAGTCACGTCACTGCGTATACTTTATTGGCAACATAATGGACTGTAGCCGGCATCTGAGCATAGTTATCAAATCCATCCAAGATATGAAACTGTATTTTTTCGAATTTCTGAATGTCTCCTTTCTGATAAAAGTAAAATATATATTAAACCTCTTTAGATGACGCAAACATGATAAACCCAATCGTTAGAAGGTTTGGTAGATTTGTTTAATTCATTTGACCCCATTGTGAAATATTCGCGGCCTCGGTAGGGGACGAATCCACACAGCAGGGAAGGCTCTACCACCGAGCTCTACCACCGAGCTACGAGGCTCACCATGCTCCGTGAATTTAGTCACATTTGGATCGATTTTACCCGCCTAACTTACTGCTAGTATGGAATTCAGCATTACAGAATAACAAGTTGACTGC